TTGTTGTGGGGGCTGTTTTAGCATTGTAGGATGTTTAGCAACATCCCTGGACTTTACCCATTAAAAGCCAAAAATTTCTCTAAGCATTGCCAAATATCTCCTAGGGGAAATCACACAGGTTGAAAACCACTATTATAGGGTAACAATGAGAACTAAACTGAGATAATATGTTTTGGGTTTTTAATTTTTTTTTTCCTTTTGAGACAGAGTCTCATACTCTGTTGCCCAGGCTAGAGTGCCATGGCATCAGCTTAGCTCACAGCAACCTCAACTCCTGGGCTCAAGCAATCCTCCTGCTTTAGCCTCCTAAAATGCTAGGATTACAGGTGTGTACCATGGCTGCCCTACCTGTACTATTTCGATTGTCATTCTTAGCAATTTCTTTTTTTTTTTTTTTTTTGAGACAGAGTCTCGCTTTGCTGTCCAGGCTAGAGTGAGTGCCGTGGCGTCAGCCTAGCTCACAGCAACCTCAAACTCCTGGGCTCGAGTGATCCTTCTGCCTCAGCCTCCCGAGTAGCTGGGACTACAGGCATGTGCCACCATGCCCGGCTAATTTTATATATATATATATATATCAGTTGGCCAATTAATTTCTTTCTATATAGTAGAGACGGGGTCTCGCTCTTGCTCAGGCTGGTTTTGAACTCCTGACCTTGAGCAATCTGCCCGCCTCAGCCTCCCAAGAGCTAGGATTACAGGCGTGAGCCACAGCGCCCGGCCAGCAATTTCTTTTTATTTATTTATTTATTTTGTATTTCAGATGTTTTTATTTCTTCAAATTTGTTATTCATCAGGAGTGACTGAAATAAAAATATAATTGAGTCTCATCATGATCATGGAAATGGCTTTAAGAGAAAACTGGTCAGATGAATATTATTGCTTCCCATTTTCAACCAGTAAATAGTTGCCATTGATAAATAGACAGCCACGAGTCTGTCAAGAATGTTCAAGACATGTTATATAATACAACATGCCTGTTCACAGGCAGAAACTAGGAAATAACTTATGTGTACTTCTTGATTTCATCATACAAGACAAGCACAAAAGCACCGCCCATGCCTCTGAGAACACTGAACCATGCACCCTGGAAAAAAGCTTTGCCTCCTTCATCACAAGCAATCTTCCTCCAGCACTCAATCATGCCTGTGTACATGATGTCAGTTCCTTTGCACCCTGACTGCATCATCATACGGCGACTAACAGTGTCAAACGGATAGGAAGTCAACCCAGCAACAGCAGTGACAGACTGTGCAATCATCCAACTGATGATATGAGTATTCTTGGGATCTGGAAGCATTCCCTTTGCAGTGTCACAGATACCAAAGTAGGCAGCACGGAAGATGATAATACCCTGCACAGACACATTAGAGCCTTGGTACAGGCCCCTAATCCCATCAGATTTGTAGATCTTAACCAGGCAGTCACTGAGGCCTCCGAATTCTCTTTCGGCTCTGGCTTTACCCACATCAGCTGCTAGACAGGTACAGGCAAAATCAAGAGGGTACACAAAGCACAAGGATGTGGCCCCAGCGGCACCACCTGATGCCAGATTCCCTGCAAAGTAGTGCCAAAACTGGGTCTTCTTGTCCACATCACCCAGGATGATCTGCTTGTATTTATCTTTGAAGGCAAAGTTGAGAGCCTGGGTGGGGAAGTATCTGATGACATTGGCCAGGTTACCATGTCAAGGACAGGACTCCTGCTCCTTGGGGATACGGACCAAGCAGTCTTTAATGCCCTTGTATTGCTTATCTGCAGTGATTTGCTTGCTGGCATGCTGCACCTGCAGCAGCAGCTTGACCCACTTGATGGGCACTACCGCAGTCTTGGAGATGGCCGCGGCCACTCCACCTGCCAGGAAGTCCATGAGGAAGGACACATCGGCATCTGTCATGTTGAAGCGAAAGAGGAGGCAGGTGACTGTGGGACAAAACTGAGCTGGGAACCAGCTTTGACTCCGTGGCTGTCAAGCAACTTCTATAGTTTCAACAATTGCCTTTACAAGTTGTCAATAAATAGTAGCTGCTATTATTACAGATCATCTCTGCCTAAATGTCCCATGGATACCTTAAACTCAGATCATTCAAAGCTGAACTAATCTTGTTTCCTCTATTTCTGCTAATGATATAACTCTAGCCCTCCAGGTAGGAAACACTCATTTCATCTTTGAACACACAGTAATCCCATCAACTGCCAAACTTTCTGCACTTACCTCAGCTGATTTCTCTTAGGCTCACTGACATCACCATAGTTCAGGCCTTCATTACCCTCTTGTCTAAACTACTGCAAAAGTCTTCTAAATGATCTCCCTATTTTTGGTCTCTCCAAATCCATCCTACACACTGTTGCTAATTTAATCTTCCTAACACTTGGATGACACAGAAAAGTGTTCATGATGTATTATTAGGCTACAAAAGCAGATTATAAAATAGTACATACTGTATAATCCTAATTTTGTAAAATAAAATGTGTAAATATAAAAAACATGCCCTCCCTTTCTGTCCACATGCATATATACAAAAAGATAAAGGAGGTGGGAAAAAACTCTCTCAAAGAATATACTCGAAAATGGTAAGAATAGTTATTATCTCTGGATAGAATTATGGATAATTTATTTCCTGGTTTGAACTTTTTACTATTTTCTACATTTCCTACAATAAACATGCATTATTTTCTATAATAGGAAAATAAATTAATAATATAACATATATGCTTCTATGATTCCCTCAGTGCTTATGTTAAAAAGTCCCAAATTCCTTGCCATAGACTCAAAGACCTCTATTCTCACTCTGTTACCCAGGCTAGAGTGCCGTGGCATCAGCCTAACTCACAGCAACCTCCAACTCCTGGGCTCAAGCAATCCTTCTGCCTCAGCCTCCCGAGTAGCTGGGACTACAGGCATGTGCCACTATGCCTGGCTAATTTTTTCTATATATTTTTAGTTGGCCAATTAATTTCTTTCTATTTTTAGTAGAGACAGGGTCTCACTCTTGCTCAGGCTGGTCTCCAACTCCTGACCTTGAGCAATCCTTCCGCCTGGGCCTCCCAGAGTGCCAGGATTACAGGTGTGAGCCACCGTGCCTGGCTCCGTATGTTTTAAATTGCACACCATTCTGAGTATTGTAATAAAATCTCACTCCATCCCGCTCCATTCTGCCAAGGACACGAATCATCCCTTTGTCCATTGTAGCCATGCTATATAAACTACCAACCAACACCATTAGTCATTGACATTATCTGCTCCTGACTTCCAACCTTTGATATCTCATCATTTTATCATCTCGTATTATCACAAGAAAGGTGAGTACAGTACAGCAAGATATTTTGAGAAAGAAACCACATTCACATGACTTTTATTTCCGTATATTGTTATAATTGACCTGTTTTATTATTAGTTATTGTTAATCTCTTAACTGTGCCTAATTTATAGGTTAAACTTTATCATAGGTATGTATGTATGTATAGGAAAGGACATAGTATATTTAGGGTTCAGTTCTATCCAGTGGTTTTCAGGCAACCACTGGGCGTCTTGGAATGTATCACCCACGGGTAAGTGGGGAACTACTGTACCTGTTTCCCTGTACCCAGCAGAATGCCTAGCACATGGTAGACCATCAAAAAGTATTAGGTCCCTTCTTCCCGCCTTTTCCCCCACATCAGAAATTATCTCTATCCTATGGCACTTTATACCTCTCTTAGGACCCATATTCTGCTTCTTATTAGCATTTTGCATATCTTTTTTTTTTTTTTTTTTTCTGAGACAGAGTCTCACTCTCTTGCCTGGGCTAAAGTACCATGGCGTCAGCCTAGCTCACAGCAACCTCATACTCGTGAGCTCAAGCGATCCCACTGCCTCAGCCTCCCAGGTAGCTGGGACCACAGGCACCCACCACACCACGGTACCCAGCTAACTTTTTCTATTTTTAGTTGTTTGGCTAATTTCTTTCTATTTATAGTAGAGACAGGGTCTTGCTCTTGCTCCGGCTGGTCTCAAACTCCTGAGCTCAAGCAATCCTCCCACCTGGCCTCCCAGAGTGCTAGGATTACAGGCGTGAGCCACCGTACCCGGCCTGCATATCTTTTTTACCCCACCAGACTATGCTCTTTGATGGCAGAGGACAGTCTTTAAAATCTTTATGCCTGCATTTTCCTGTATTTATTGTTCAACAAAAAACTGATAACTGAATCTATAATTAAAATAGTTGTTTAACTGCTTTCAATTCTACTGTGTAGATTTCTTCCCACTCCCACTAGACACTAGCCCCACTATTAGCAAATCACTGTTCCTAAACCACAAAGGGCTTCCTGATTAATTTATCCAACGTGTCCCAATGCTAGACACTGGGGGAAATACAAACTAGGATTAGAAAAGGGTTTCTGGTCTCGAAAGAAATTCAACCTAATAATGAACTCCCCAGTCAAAACAGTATACAACTACACTGTTTGAGTATGTGAGTCACGTGGCATGAAGCGTGACGGCGACTGTCAACGTGGGTTCGGAGTCAGGTAACAGACTACACAACCACCCCATTGACCAATCCTCTGGGATTCATTTCGAGCTGCCTTGCGCAGCCATATCCTGGTTGGGAGGTGTTGAGGAGAGATGGGGAAAGCGACCACCATCTCCCCTCAGACTACCATCTCCCCATCCTCCCACACCCTGAATCTCAGGGCTTTCCCTTTCGCCAGGCTCACTCAGTACCCCAGGGAGGCGTGGCTCTCACCTACCCAACCACCTACTCTCTCCCTGGGGGCTGGGCTAGCTTCTCCAGGGACCCTCTCCTCTCTAGGCAGCCACGCAAATGTGGGACTGGCGGAAAGGTCTGCGTAAGCCACGGGCTCCCACTTCTCTCATGGACTCCGGACCCAGAGCGAGGTGCCCTCCTTCGCGCTCTCGGCTTCTCACCTGCTCTGCCGACACCGCCCCCTTCCCCGCACCGCTCCCGCTGCTCTTGCCGGCGCGACCGCTGTTCTCCGCCATCTTTGCCGCCTGCTGGGTTTCCGGCCTGCGCACTCAGCCCCGCCTTGCGTCACGTCCTGTCTGGGAGTTACCGCCCACTCGCCCCGGCGCCCTTGGCTCCAGGCCGCTCTTGGGATCGGATGCTGCGAATGGTGTCGGCTGTACCTTCATGTAGGACCTACTCTCTATTCCGTCGGCCGCGGTGAATTTCACCTGCGGTGCTTTAACTTGTGCAACAGAAATGCTGCCCCTGGGAGAGGCTGTTCCGGAAGGACGGGCTAACTGGAGGGTGGGAGCGCGGGTTGGGTCTGGGTTGCTGTGCTTCCTGCCCACCTTGGTTGGGGTGGTGGCAGACGAGGGAGGGTGAACTTTCCCTCAGAGATTCTGATGTAAGAGGGGAAAATATGCTTTGAGTCAGTAAGCTGTGCAAGTGTATAGTTAAGAAGAGAGGCTTGGGAAAAACAAGGAAGTTTCCGGGAGATGACTTTTGAACTGCCGAAACGTTTGGCAGAGGAAAAGGGCTTCAGTCTAATGTGAGATCGCTGGAAGTTGAGGTATTCGGGCGCCAAGCAGACCCCCTTCCTCCATCTTCCCACTTTATGATCTCTTCCTGTAGCCTATAATTATAATAAAGAGTGTTTTTGAAGACTTGGGTTTTTTTTTTTTTTTTTACTGGCAGGGCCCAGATTCAGCCTCACAGTATGTAAGGAGAAGTCAGAGAATCCTATAAATGTATTGCTTAAGGGAAGGGGTTGGTGTCCTGATTTCTCACCTTCCTCAGGCTGGGCTTCATCACCAGGCCTCCTCACCAACTCCTGTCCCTTCTTCTGTGTCCCGGACTCCGGATACTTCGACAGTCAGTACATTGTGCTCAGCCCAGGTAACATGTTTCGTTGTGTCCTCAGTGCCTGGCACATAGTAGATGCTCAGTAAATGTTTGTTAAATGGATAGCAGAAGACATATGCATGTCAACCATCCTCAGAACATTTGATTAATGAGCCCCATTAGCCCTGGGTCAGTGTGGCCTGTAAGAGCAGAATCAAAAGGAAGTTCCACCTTCCTGCCTACCCATTTGAGCCCCTGATCATTAAACTTGGGTTTCCCCATGCTAGGAAATCTGAGAATCCTGCCCGTGCCATTCACAGGCCCAGAGCCATGGCTAGCTCTTCTTCCTGGGAACTGCCCCTGGTCGCTGTGTGCCAGGTAACATCGACACCAGACAAGCAACAGAACTTTAAAACGTGTGCTGAGCTGGTTCGAGAAGCTGCCAGACTGGGTGCTTGCCTAGCTTTCCTGCCTGAGGCATTTGACTTCATTGCACGGGACCCTGCGGAGACGCTGTACCTGTCTGAGCCACTGGGTGGGAACCTTTTGGGAGAATATACCCAGCTTGCCAGGTATCAGGGAAAGGGGGAGGGAGAGGTAGAATCTTTGTTGGGCAGTGCCCCTGGATTGCCAGATATGAGGGTAGAGCCTTGAAAAGAGTTGTCAGTGTCCCCTCCCCCCAGGGAATGTGGACTCTGGCTGTCCTTGGGTGGTTTCCATGAGCGTGGCCAAGACTGGGAGCAGACTCAGAAAATCTACAATTGTCATGTGATTCTGAACAGCAAGGGTGAGACTTCATAACCCTTTAGCCTGCCTCTTCCCAGGTTCTTCTACCTAAATTAGATTCTCCAGAATTTTGTTTTTCAATTCTATTTCCTTGGCCCAAGGTTTTAGGGGAGTTTGTACTTCTGTTTCTAGCCTATAAACTCTAGCCTCTCCTCCTCCTTGGGAGGAGAGGAACTAGGCTGGGATTCTAAAGCACTGAGTATTTCTTCTCCCTCTTACCCTAGGATCAGTAGTGGCCACTTACAGGAAGACGCATCTGTGTGATGTAGAAATTCCAGGGCAGGGGCCTATGCGTGAAAGCAACTCTACCATGCCCGGGCCCAGTCTTGAGTCACCTGTCGACACACCGGCAGGCAAGGTGGGAGTTGTGAGAGGATGAGGGTGGGAGAGAAATATGAGGGAAGGAATTAGGAATACTTTGAAGTAGTAGTATAGAAAGCCCTAAGGAGTGGGATAATGGGGGTGTGACTAGATGATGTGACAAACAGGACAGGGAGGCTAAGTAGGCTGTTTTTCATTCCAGATTGGTCTAGCTGTCTGCTATGACATGCGGTTCCCTGAACTCTCTCTGGCATTGGCTCAGGCTGGAGCAGAAATACTTACCTACCCTTCAGCTTTTGGATCTGTTACAGGCCCAGCCCACTGGGAGGTAAGAAGATACCTCTTCAAAACATAAGGGCCTCTTCACCTCATTCTCCTCCCTTGGCCCTACCAGTTAAAAGATTTTCTTCTCCTTCCCACCTGCTGAGAAAATTCATTCCCCAGATAGTTGTCTCTCATGTGGTACAGAATAGTTAACACAGTAAATCATTCCTATGCAATTATTAGAATGGTCACAGCGGGAAGATTGGCCTGAAATGTCCATCTCCTGTCACTTCCCCATTAGCTGCCACACACATCTCATCTCCAGGTGTTATTGCGGGCCCGTGCCATTGAAACTCAGTGCTATGTAGTGGCAGCAGCACAGTGTGGACGGCACCATGAGAAGAGAGCAAGTTATGGCCACAGCATGGTGGTAGACCCCTGGGGAACAGTGGTGGCCCGCTGCTCTGAGGGACCAGGTCTCTGCCTTGCCCGGATCGACCTCAACTATCTCCGACAGTTGCGCCAACACCTGCCTGTATTCCAGCACCGCAGACCTGATCTCTATGGCAATCTGGGTCATCCGCTGTCTTAAGACTTTGACTTCTGTGAGTTGAGACACCCATTGTGAGCTGGTGCTGCTGTGACTTGTAGGCAGGACGCAGGCACAGCTCCCCTCACTTGGAGAACCTTGACTCTTTTGATGGAACACAGGCTCAGCTTACTGGGAAAGAAGAAACTTTCACCTGAGCTCAGATTTCAGTTTCAGAAAGATGGAATTTTATACAGTCATTGTTTATTTCATGAAAACTGAAGTTATGCTGAGGGCTGAGCAGCACTGGCATTGAAAAAAATATAATAATCATAAAGTCTGTGCCTGGACATCTTTGGGAGCTGGAAGGGGAGGTGGTATTGTACCAGCTGGACTAGGTTCCACTTCTAGGCCTCCTGGCTCATTCAACATGCCTCCCTACCTAAATAAAAGTGCAACACTCAGTGCATGTTCCAGCCCCATTCTCCCAAGCATGGGAGTGGGAATAGGGGTAAGAGGAGGGAGAAGGAAAAAGGAGTTCATACTGAATTACTTCACTTTCACCTATGATGATGCCCTTTGCCCAAGCCAGAAGAAAGCAAAGGGGGAAAGGGCTGCAGGGTACATTATTTATTTTCACTTGAACATGGAAGGAAAGTGTCACACTCCCCCTTCCCCTTTATAGGGGGAGTGTATTTTAATCAGCAACCTCTTCTCCATCCACCCTGTGTATGTGTGTATGCACACACACCACAGCTGGGGGGGGGAATAGGCTGACCCAGTCCTTTTATCTACTCCCTTGAAGAGGGTCTGATAAATGGGAAAAAGGAAGGAGCCAAATCAGGCAGAGATTTCAAGCCATGGAATGGAGGAAAGAAGGCAGAGAGGAGCAGCACCAGATGCCAGGAGAGAGTGGAAAGGGCCACAGCTTCTTTGTTTTTTAAAAATTCTATAATTTGGAAGAGGGTGTTGATTAATTTCCAAAATACACTTCAGAGTCCCACCTTCCACATAGCTCCCTTACTCACAGCCCTTTGGTTTTTTAGACAAAATTTAAGAGCCCTCATAAAGCCAGAAGTATTGATAACCCCTCAATGCACCCAAAAGCAGTGTTCACTTCAATCCCTCACAAAGACTATGTTCTATAGACTTTGCTTCTCCCTACACATTTGTCTTACGGCTCAGTGGTAAGGTGGCTGTAGAGACATACATTAGGGGGTAAGTGGAAGAGGGAAACAAAGGGGAAGCCCAGGCACATGGGTGCAAGGAGGGGTAGGGAACACCACTTCCACTTTCCTTTGTCTTTTCTTAAAAAAAAAAAAAAAAAAAAAAAAAGAGGGGGTTGTGATTGGTTGGAAGGGTAGAGAACAAACCCCAGAACAGTATGTAAGCTCCAGAGGTGGGTGGTGGGAACAGTCCCCAGAGAAGTGAGAAGGGAAAGAGGTCAGGGCAACGCTTGCAGCATCAAGTTCCTCAGGAGTTTCTGTCGGCCCAGCTCATAGTCCTCCTCATCCACATTCACCAGCAGTTTGATGGCTTCGTGGCCCACAGCTTGCTTGAGGGAGTCTGTGATAAAGACACCTTTAAGTGCCTCTAGTAATGAGCCATTGATGTAGTCGCGCCAGAATGCGTCGAGGTAGGTGAGCTCAGAGAACTTGATGTCACAGATGATGGAGCCCAGGTCCCGGGACTTGAGGATGGTGTTGGCCTGGTTAAAGCGCTCAAACTGGCGCTCAAGTGGGTCCTGCTTGTTAGAGAAGACGTTGCCCTGCAGAGCAGTCTCGTGCTGGCAGTATTCAGCCCGAACCCGTAGTCTGATGTCTGTGGGAAGAGAAGAGGTTACAGTGAGGGATGGAGTTTACAACCCAAGTTTGAAAAGCTGAAAAGAATAGCAGAACAGGAAAGGAGGGACCATCACCTGACAACTTCTCTACTTCTTTCCTAGGACTAGTTCTTTCTATGTTTTCTGAAATCCTTGCCTGAATGCAGGAGATTCTCTTAAATGGGACATAACCACGTCAACACTGTCCCCAACTCACAAGCAGCACCTTGTTTATAGGAGATATTTTCTTAATTAATAGGCACAGAAGTTCATTTAATACTCCATCTGGATTTGGTTCATCCTACAATAAGGATGTCATAATGGCATCCCTTTGCTCTACTAGTAACTAAAGAGAGTTGAAATGTACCCTGCCACAAATATAAAGAGGAGTTCACCTGCCAGAGACTAAACCGTTCACCCTCACTTTGCAATGGCAATCAAAGTGAGCCTTGTACTGAACAACAAACTGCCCAGTATCCCAGCAGTTCTTTATATTTTCCCCCACGTCTGCTCCACCTCTGGAACCCTGAACTTCCTCACCACATGTCTGCTTTTCCTTGGGATCTGGGGTCACCGACTTCCGGCGTTTTCGCTGGCTCCCAAGTGTGGCTCTCCCTCGGGCTGGCCGCTTGCTACACATCTGAGGACCCGAAGTGGGGCAGCACACCACAGGATAGTGAGGAGGCACTGACAAGAAGGTAAAAGGGAAGAAAACACAGTAGGGTAAAAGCAGAAATTCAAACACTTCTCTTGAAATGAAGAAGGAATCATTTAGACTTAGCACTAAAAGCAGCGTCAATAACGTGACCTGAAAGGAAGACACAACATGGGAGCAAATACAGGACCTAGGTGAAGCATTAACACCTCAACTGGTTTTTTTTATGGGGCTAGATGTGGGGAGACAGCATCCTTTCATTTACTCTGGCAAAGCTGGAATGTAATGGGATCTGTGTCCTCTTATTTGATAATGGAAATCAGGGGGAGTTAGTATCTTCTCACCTGTTTTAGGGGGCTGGGGAGGCCTCGGTTCTGGATCGCTGAGGGCTCTGGGGGTCACATAGCGAATTGATGTCTCCTCCAGATACTTGTCTACAAGATCAGGGCACACTATAGGGGAGAATAAGTCATTCAGGAAAAGATACACCCCTCCCTTCTCCCAGTCCAAACTTCCAATGGGCCTTATAACTTATTCTCCTAGGTACTCGCCAGGGTCAATGCCTCCTCTCCCCCTTAGGCCCCTATACTGTTCATTCCTGGCTTCCCACAACTCTTCCCAGATTCCAGTGTCCCCAGCCCCCAATACACCCTCACCAGCCCGTCTCCTCTTGAGGGTGACGTAGGGCAGCAGGTCATGGCGAGTGATGATGCGCAGCAGCTGCAGCACCTGGCGAAAGTTACTCTCATCACAGCGGCCCTGGCGCTCCAATGCCAGTAAGAAGTCACGTCCATTCCGGATGAGTCCGCGCTCGTGGTCATCAATGACATCCACAAAGAGGAAGGAAAGCACGCGCACATCTCTGTGTGTCAGATGGGTGCCCACGATGTCAAACATGCGGTGCAGGCTGTACAGCCCATGCTCTTGCTCACCATGTTCTTCTGGCCACACCTGGCTTGCCCGCCGCTTTAGGCCCGCCATGCTGGGGGCTCAGGTACGCAATACTTTCCAGAATCCCTGCTCAGCAGCTGCAATTCCCACCGTACTGTAAGGACAAGGAAAGAACCTGTGAGTCACTCAATGGCAGGAACTAGTCTTATTCATTCCTATATTCCTAATGCCTAACACAATGCCTGGCACAGCATAGTGCTTAATATATGTTTATTAAATTTTTAAGTTATTTGTTAAAAAGTAAACTCTAGAGTTATCCATGCTTAAGAGATGCTGCCCTAAGTCTAGACACTTCTGGAAAAATATAGTCACTTCCTCTACATGAGAATCTTGTATATAATTTTGATGCTACATATTTGGCAAAGGTTGCTTTTAGATATTATCCTGTGATTGTTCCTCTTGCCTCCAAAACACTGCTTTTGGTCCCTTGAAAACTGCTCCTTTCACCCCCTAACCAGTTCACCTCTTAAATATAGACAAAATTGGGAAGAAGTAGAGAATTCACTTTTTTTTTTAAAGGCTAGTCAAGTGAAAAGGTGGGAGTGGAGAAAGAGCAAAAAAATCCGTAACTGGCCAGGCGGGGTGGCTTAGGCCTGTAATCCTAGCACTCTGGGAGGCCGAGGTGGGCAGAGTGCTCGAGGTCAGGAGTTCGAAACCAGCCTGAGCAAGAGTGAGACCCTGTCTCTACTATAAATAAAAAGAAATTAATTGGCCAACTAATATATATAGAAAAAATTAGCTGGGCATGGTGGCTCATTCCTGTAGTCCCAGCTACTTGGGAGGCTGAGGCAGTAGCATCGCTTGAGCCCAGGAGTTTGAGGTTGCTGTGAGCTAGGCTGACGCCATGGTATTCACTCTAGCCTGAGCAACAAAGCAAGACTCTGTCTCAAAAAAAAGAAATCCATAACTGGTTGTGATCAATTAGTTGTAAACACCACTGCATTTAGACCAGCCAAGAATTCATTCCTAACTCTAATATGGAAGCTGCACCACATGAACTCAGGGACTGCCAATAGGGAAACTGAAAATCTTTAGAGTTAAAACTAGTTTAAATTCTGACTATACCATTAACAAGCTGTATAGCTGTGTGACCTTAAGCAAATCACTTGAAGTCTTAGTACCCTCATATATAAAATGCCGATAAAAGAACCTATTCCTCAAGAGTTAAGAATCCAATGAGAAAATACATGTGAGATCACTTTGTAACCCTTATATAAATGGCCATGAAAGAAATTTCAAAGAAATAGGCATCCTTGACCTCTGCAGCCCAGACTCATCTCTCTTGAAACCTATCCCCATTTTTCCTACAATCTAAGTCCAGATGCATAACTGCTCAGAAGGCTAATCAATAATATTCACCAAAACTTGCAGATTTAAATTAATATTTATTAAGTTCCCACAATGAGCATTCTTGTAATTCTTCTATGCTCCTTTGTATTCCCTTGATCTTCACACCATTTGGATATACCAACTTCTAACCTTTCCTCATGGATGTCATTTGCCAATCCCTTGTCAATGCCCAATGACTGCCCTACATTCATGATATAGTTTAGCATTTGATTCACAAAAGTCCTCCATCATCCTGATTAACAACAATGACCCAGCCAATCCTCAAGTCCAACAAGTTTCACTCCTCTCTAGTCACTCAAACTTACTGCCCCACCAGACAGTACCATCTGGGCGTACTGACGGAGTGCAGAGGAAGTACTGGTCCTCCCTCTGACCACAACCTCCAGTCACTCAATTCTAAATTCCTGTTGATGATACTTCTAAATATTTCTTAAATCTGCCCCACCTTTCTACCTCCACTGCCACTGCCCCAGTTCAGATCCCTATAATCTCTCACATGGACTACTGCAACTGCCTCTTTAAAGGTTTTCCCCATCACCAATCTTTTTTTTTTTTTTTTGAGACAGAGTCTCACTCTGTTGCCTCGGCTAGAGTGCCATGGTATCAGCCTAGCTCACAGCAACCTCAAACTCCTGGGCTCAAGCGATCCTACTGCCGCAGCCTCCTGAGTAGCTGGGACTACAGGC